CAAAGATAATGTAGCAATTGGGAATTAGAATTGAAGAAGACAGTCTAGGTGATTTCAGAAATAGAAGGAAACATGAGAAGCTTTAAATTCTACACCGAACAACCAAAGCTATATCATCAGCACAGTCTATGACATGAAAAAGGCCCAAATAGGCTCCCACAAGACCCTGTGCTGTATTTGTATTTAAGTCAGCAGCATGATCCCAGGACACTGAGTAAAGTGGCCCAGCTAACCAGAACATTATATGAGCTGAGACCCTGAAATAAGTAAAGACTCTGTCTAGACCTATGGGCATAGATACAAGGGCATGGTTCCAAGCACAATCTTTTAAAGAATATGGAGTGAAGCATAGAAGACTGTACTATGCTATTATTCACTATTGTGTAGTGAAAAGATTTTCTATCATGCTAATTTTGGTATTTTATATAAGATTACATAATCAGAAAACTTTATCCACACTTATGCACTAATGGTCATTAGATGATTCAGTCAGAAAATTCTCTGTACGTGTACATAAACTGGAACTGCAAACATTTTGGATTAAGAAAATCATACCATTGGCCCAAGGAATATCCCAGAAAACTAGAGGCTAAATGAGAAAGCTTAGATTAGATTAAGCTGAAAGGTTCATTATCAAATCTTGATATTGGAAAGCTCTCTCTGCTTCACTGTGTAGAGTAGATAAGAAAGGGAGAAGGATCTTGGAGTAATAAGAGAAGGATGTTAGTTTGAACAGGGGAAATGACCGGTTAGAATGGATAGAAGTGGGTGGTAACATCCTGCAAACATTTAGCAAATGAAATAAAAATAATGTGAATTTGAGAATGATAATAAAATATAAGAAAGAAGGAGTGTAAAGTCATGTGGCTTTTGCTGATTTCTTATATTGGAGGTTAGATACTATACATGAGTGAGGACTTGGGAGAGGGAAATTAGAATGATTAATTCAGCTTTCAAAGTCAAATCTCAAGATTTTGTGAAATATAAGATAAGATAATAAGAACATAAGATAATAAGATAATAAGAACAATTATCTCATTGGTAATCAAATGTGTGATTCTCAGTACTGGTATCCAAATTGAGGCTAGTCACTTAGTCATTATTTAAATATTACACTTGATGCAATGAAAAGGTATAGATCAGGAGAAGAGGACCTCAAGCTAAAACTCTTTAGTTTGCTTAAATTATAATTTATGTATTTTATTTTATTTGGTAATTGTTGTATATATTTCATATGTAAAATATATCTCAAAATATGTATACATTGTGGAATGCCTAAATGGAGGTAATTAACATATACAATACATCCTACTCAAATGCTTATCACTTTTTGGGTGGAAACACATAAACTTGGTCTTGTAGGAATTTTCAACAATACATCATTATTATTTATAGTCACCATGTTTTCCAATAGACCTCTTGAACGTACTTCTCCTATGTCACTAAAGTTTTATTTCCTTTGAGAAAACTCTCTGTAACCCACCCCACCAACAAACCCGGGTAAGCACCATTCTCCTCTGTATCTTGTTCCTTTTCTTTCTTTTCTTGTTTTTTTTTTCCTTCCATACTGGGGATCAAACTCAGAACTTTGCTCTTGCAAGTCAAATGAGGTACCACTGAGCTAATTCCACAGCCCATCTACTCTGTATTTCTATGAGCATTCCTTTTTAAGATTTCACATGTAAGTGGTATCCTGTGGTACTTGAATTTCAGAGCCTAATCTGATCCATTACTGATTAACGTAATGCCCTCCTGTTTTGTTATGGTCTTTTTACAAACTACAGAAATTGCTTTTTAATGGCTGAATAATATTCCACTTCCTTTACTCATTCACATGTCCACAGACACTTATGTCGTTTCCCTAGCTTCGCTGTTGTGAATAATGCTTCAATGAACCTTCAAGTGCAGCTAAAATTCCAACCTACTGCAGCTATGTTCCCATACTGCAAGACATATGCCCAGTACTGGGTTTGGGACTTCCTTAAAATTTTTCAGGAACTTCTATATTGCTTTGCAGAGAGGCTGAACTACTTTACATTTTCATCAAGAACGTGCATGGATTTCTTTCTCTCCACATCCTCTCCATTTCTGCTCTATCCCTTTCATAACAGACATTTTAAGAGATGTGGGGGTCCTGTTTCATTGTGTTGTAGTCTGTATTTCCTTGATCATTGGAAATGTTAAATGTTTTTCATATGGTGGGGCATATGGTTTTCATGCTTGGTCATTGTGTGTCTTCTTTAAAAGCTGTCCATTCAGGTCCTTTGCCCATTGTAAAATAGTTTACTTGTTCTCTTTTCATTAAAGAGCTTGAGGTAATTTATTTTTTATGAATGCCTACTTGGTTGTGTGAAGAACAAACATTTTTTTCCCATTTTGTTCATTTTCATGTCTTCCCTCTATCCCTAACATTGTGAGTGTGTGCTGTACAAAAATCTTTTGAGTTTGACCCCCTTTTTTATGTTCACTTTTGTTGCCTGTGGTTTTGGGATCATATCCATTAAATCCCTGCCTATAACAATGCAGGGGGATTTTCCTATCATATCCTTTTTTGTAGCTTCACAATTTGTAATCATATATTTAAATCTTTAACTCCCTTTCAGCTAATTTTTGATATGATGTAAAATAATGTTCTAACTTGACTCTTGTGCATGTCGATACTGGTTTGCCTGGAACCATTTATTGAAAGGACTGTCTTTTCCTCATATTGGGATTTATGGAACTTTGTTGGAAATCAGTCAGCTATAATTTCTTGGGTTCATTTCTGTGCATCCTCTTCTGTAACAGTGCTTTTATGCCTATGCTATGCTGTTTTGATAATTTTAGCTTTGTAATGTAGTTTGAAGTCATATGGTGTAAGGCCTGAAGCTTTATTCTCTTTGCTTTGACTATTCCTTAAGAATTTTAGATTTTTCATTTCTATAAGGAAGGTAAATTGGAAATTTGATAGAAATTGCACTGAATCTGCAGATGGCTTCATGTATAATGGGTAGATTAACAATCTTAATTCCTCTCATCCACAAACTCAAAATATCTATTTATACATATTGCATCTATTTCATCACCATCTTATACCTTCCAATATATATGTCCTTCACTTCATTGGTCCAATTAGATCATAATTATTTTCCCTTTTGTAGCTATTTTCAGTGGAATTTCATTCTTGATTTTTTTTGAGAGTATTCTTAGTAGGAAATCTCCACACTTTTGTGGGTTGATTTTGCATTCTGTAACTCTACGGATGTCCTTGATTAATCCTCACAGAATTTTGTCAGGGTCTTTCCTCAGGGTTTTCTGTATAAAAAATCCATTGTCTGCAAAGAGAGACAATTTAACTTCCTCTTTCCAATTGGTTGTCTGTTATTTCCTTCTTGTGCTTAATTGCTTGTGCTAGGACATTCAGTTCTATGTGATTCCATATAAATATGTTGAGAATGAATTTTCTTGCATTTTTCTCATCTTAGAAAATGAACTTTCAGCTATTGACCATTAAATATGATGTCAGCTGTGAGTTTGTCAGATATGCCATTACAGTGCTATTAGCCTCTTTACTTTATCACTTATTGTATCACTTCACATATAATTCATTCAGTCCATACTCTACAACTCTTTGAGCATAGAAATAAATGGAGTGAAAACCCAGAACCCAAGGTGGAGTGCTCATTTCCCACAGAACCCTCAGTGCTGCTTGAAACTCTTGCAACATGTGTACACGATTCCAACTCTATTGTGACTGCATTCCAACACTCTTTCATCATCCATACACTGTATTTCAAGATCAGTGTCTCCAACACCTCTTTGGTGAAGCCTTGTGATCTTACAAGCTAGTACTGACCCATCTTTTCTTGAGTCCCTGAGACATCTAAACTGGTTTTTCATAAGTAGCTCTTCACCAAGTGTCATTTAATTTCATGACTATTTACACTGTCTTCGTACAAAATTTGGTCAATTACTAAACTAACTTCTTATCTGCAGTGTAAGAGATACTATAGAACGTTGTGCTCCTCCACTGAGAATATTCACATAAGATGCTTGGCACAATGGCAGCTCAGCAACCATTAACTATTGTTACTACCTGTATAGGCCTTGGCAGAAGAATTGAATGAACACCCAAATTGTGCAATTCAGGTCAAGTTATGATTTAATGATAGTTTACTTCTTACTATTTAGTCATTATTTCATTTTTTAAAAGAAGGGAATCAATGATTTCCTGGCTTTTTCTGTCAGCCTGGTATGTGAATATTTGTAGAGAACTTAGTATAGAGATATACATAATAATAACTTACATTACTTTGGATATATTCCTTTCTAGTCATAAAAGGCGCATTGGAAATTTAAACTCTCATTGAGATAATTGATATTATATACCTTTTTCCATGTTTCAGAACATCTATGTGTCTAATAATAAGTAGTAAATACACATTTACTGAAAGAAGAACCCCAGGTAACATAGACAATGAAACTCCTGATTCTGTGATAAAATTCTTTTTATAGTTTCTTTGCTTTTTTAAATTAATTAAGTTTACTGGTACACTATAGATATACGGAATGATCACATTCATCACAGGGAATGTGTACCTGTCCATGATATATCTTGCTTCTTCTTTTTTCCCATTCCCCTGCCCTCCCTTCAACCCCTCTTCCCCTCCTTCTTTACAAAAGCTTTGTTTCCATTTTTTTTCTGACTTTTTTGTGTTTTCCCTTCCTTTCCATCCTTCCTTCCTAGTTCTCCTTCCCATTTGACAAACTTCTTTTTAAACATCATGGAGTGTTTTCTTTAGATGGTAGGTATCATTTGTTGTCATAGCTCTCTTGACATTTGAAGGCTTCAGTAACTATTGCTATAAAATTGAGAATAGACATGAAAACCTGTCTTCCCATATATTACCTGCCTGACATGTATTTACAATTTGAAAATAAAAGATTTATTGTTTGATATCCACCTTCTATTGTTCCATACAATTTTAAGTTTTCCAAAGAAGTATTGCATTAACCCTAGTGCAAATTATTTCATCATAATGAAAGATTAGTAATCAGATTATTCTTAGTTCTAAATTATGATTGAAAATAATGTCTTAAAGTAATACTCCAGATACCTTTCATTTCTTTACTCATTAATTCATAAATTACTTCAACATATTAAGGTATTTAAAACACTTGAGGCACAAAGATTCGAGGATAGGATGTGTAGAGAATTATGGGAATTCAAAGACAGTCATGATGCTTTAACCCAATACAATACAGAGCATTACAAAGACTTTACAGTATATTGGGGGGGGGGTTGCTGCCTAGACAAAATCATACATTTTCCTTGGAGCACACATTCTCGCTATATCATGATCATCACCATGAGCTATGAGCAAGAGTACAAAAAAAATCAAAAGAGTGGATGACCCAGAAAAAAACTACCCAAGATAAAAAAGAGCTTGAGTGACAATGAATCAATTGATGCAGTTTGTTATGATTGCAAGTATTTGAAAGGGCTCTACAGGTACAACAAAAGAAGCATGCAAATATGGGGGAATACAACATAATACAACATATTTTCAAGGATAATTCACATTATAAAATTTGCATTTAAAGTGAGGGTCGAACTTTTTCACTGGGCTATGGTTTTCAACTGGACTAAGGTGTACTTCAATTTTGACAGAAAGCTACAACGGAAAACCACCACTTAAAATCCAAGAACTTGACAAAGAAAAACAAGGCAACGATGTTTGTTTGGATGATATTCTGCAGAAGACGCACTTGTATTTAAACCAGGCCCAGAAATATTATACGAAGGCCGAGCATCTCCATGGTAAGACTAGGGCACCTGTAGACTGTGTCCAATCAGCTTTTTGCCAAACTTTCTTTAATCTAGGCAAAGAGAGCAAGCATACAAAAGGTAAGATTGGAATCTCTTGCAAGAAATATCCTAAAATTTCTAAACTTTGTTCAAGTTTTGGGCTCTTTAACTTTTTTTCTGTGATTCCTCCAATCATTCCATTAATAAACTAGCACTTTCACTAAAGAAGTATTTCCCTTTTGAAAGCTACTTAGTCTTTTGCGGGTTGAGATCCAGTTTCCAATTATGTATAATTTAAGCCCTTGTGTTTAGGCTGTTCGTAGAAATAGTTAAACGTAGAAATGGTATAGAAAGGGACACCTCAGCCTAGATTCTATCACCTAATGAATTCTCTGTCTTTGTGTAAGTTTCTTAATATTTTCAGTCATCATTTTTTCCTTTTCTCACATGTGGAGAATTCTGCTATTACTTCAACATGACTTTCTAAGGTTGCTACATCGTAATGGCAGAAACATAAGAATTCCCAAAATATTATCTGTCATTGAAAGGTTTCTTGGGGCAGGGATTGTACTCAGTGTTCTGCCGCCCGCCTCTCAAGCACAAGATCCCAAGTTCAATCAATCCCTGGTCCAAAAAAAAAAAAAAACAACTTTGTCCTCTTCTCAAAACTCCAGGCTGCTTTATCTCTAGCTGTGTATTCAATATTTTTGTTCACATATTAAATTAGTTTAATAAAAATAACAGATTGACAATCAAATACTTGTTCCCCCTATTCAAATTGCTCCATTCTATAGGATTTCTGTCTCAGAAAACAAAACAAACCTGGCATCTACCATGTTTTCCTACCCACATTCTTTACTCATTGCCTAACACATAATCATAGCTAATGAAAATAAGATGAACAAGCTAATGGTTTGCAAATGATAAAGATCAGTCATGATAATCACTATGCCTGTGCTCAGATGTAGACTTTTAAAATATAAACAGCAGAATCCCTATAGAATGCCCAAAGATTTCTAAGTTCTCATAAGTTATGACCCAAACTAAATTCTAAATGCAGTAACAAGAGCCTGAGTGGTTTCAGATACAGCTTCACTAGAAAAAGACTCAGTTTTCATAGATCTTAAACAAACCTGGCCCTGAGCTTACCAGTACTGATAACTGATAATGAGGAAAAGGCAACATAGCTTGTTGAGGCTGAACTATATCAAATGTTCTTTTCCAATCAACCACTCTTTGTGGAGAAGGGATATTTTTACTGCCAGAATGTACATACAAGGTCGACAGATGTCACTATTGCAGCCTAGGTTTCATTCTCATTTGTATTTACCCTGGTCCTTTTGCCGGTTAATTGCTTTTCTTCATACCTGAGATGAGTAGAATATAAGCATAGTTGTAAAATATCAAAGATAATGCAACAATTGGGAATCAGAATTGAAGAAGACAGTCTAGGTGATTTCAGAAATAGAAGGAAACACGAGATGCTTTAAACTCTACACCGAATGACCAAAGCTATATCATCAGCACAGTCTATGACATAAAATGGCCCATATAGGCTCCCACAAGACCTTGTGATATATTTGTATTTAAGTCAGAAGCATGATCCTGGTACACTGCGTAAAGCGGCCCAGCTAACCAGAACATTATATGAGCAGAGTTCCTGAAATAGGTAAAGACTTTGTCTAGACCTATGGTCATAGTTGCAATGGAATGGTTCCAAGCACAATCTTTTAAAGAATATGGAGTGAAGCACAGAAGACTGCACTATGCTATCACTCACCATTGTGTAATGAAAAGATTTCCTATCATGCTAATTTTGGTATTGGATATAAGATAACATAATCAGAAAGCTTTACACTTATGCACTAATGGTCATTAGATGATTCAGTCAGAAAATTCTCTGTACTTGTACATAAACTGGAACTACAAAAAATTCGGATAAAAAACCATACTATTTTCTCAAGTATTATCCTAGAAAAGTATGGGACATCATATTATGTAAATTTTTAAAAATAGGATAGATCATGTGTCATTGTTTAATCTATAAATAGATACCCCAAAGATTTGCTATTGTTATGTGCTCTGACAATTTTCTATATCTGGAAAATTTAGGATCTTATCATATATTTTCAAAGCCACTTACTTAAAAAGTGTTTGAAACCAATAAAATAGAAAAATTGAAATATTATAAAATATGGAACATTTTATATATTGCAGGATTATATTTATTGATCATTTAAGTAATATAAAGCCAGACATTGTCTTCATTGACTCCTGTAATTAAATGAGAATAATATAACTCTTCCTTCCCTTCATCAAAAGAAACTTGTTACCTTAGTTCTTAATAAACATTTTATTTCTGCTTATTAATTCCTCATTTTTTTCTCTCCAGAAAGGGTGCAATTACATTCCAGTAGCTAGCACAATCTCTGACAAGTGAGGTTATTTCTTGAGGAGATGTATCAGGATGATTCAGAGAGAGACTTATCCCAAAACAATGAATTATTTTCTCTATATCTTATAGCATGTGTTAAAAATTGTGCTGTTTGTTGCTCAGTACTCTGTAGGCAAGATGTCCAGAGCATGCCATAAACTCCAACAAAAAATTGTCCCACTGAGCTTGGATACAATATAATTGTTTCTAGTTAGTATTTCCTCATTAAATAGCTGACAAATTTCTAGTGGATAATTGAAGTTTATTTCCTCTAGAAAGGTTCAGAATTCAGATTGATTCCTGTAAGAATAATACCTGGATGATACAGGATTCAAGATTTTCAGTGTTTCATGGATGTGCTATATGTGTGTTGTGGATTAGGAGGTATAATCAATATGAGATGTAGTATGACACAATATGGTAGCCACTAGCCACATGCAGTGCTTGAATTTTGGCTTGAAACACATAGTAAAATGATAATAACTGGGTTATATTAAATTAAGGATATTATTAAAATTAATTTCCCCTATTTATTTTTATTTTATAAGTGTAGGTGGAGATTTCAAATTACACCTGCAGTTGACATTATATTTGTAGTAGTCAGTACTCTTATAAATATTTATTTAATATTTTCTTTCTTAGAGACAAAGTAAGACTACATGTATAAGTGAGTATCTTAGAGTAAACCACTGCAAAAAATCAAACTGTTTTTGTTGACTAAGAAAAGGTCAAATTTAACCCTGAATGATGGAGATGTTTCCCTCCAAATTATCAAATCTATTGTATTTTGGTTATTTATGGCTTCTCTACCAAGGAATTTAAACTGCTTTAGTAATCACAATAAATCTCCTTATACTGGCAGATAGGTATTATTATAATTGCTCCATATAAAGTTTTCTCCTTAACTTTTCCTCTCTCAAACCTCTCAGGTGATAAAATAGGTCACAAAGGTATAAATCAAAATTTATATCATGTAGTTTATTCTGCAGTTCTTCTGGAAAATCTGTCTGAACCAGTTGCATCCTCAGAAACTACTGACACCCTCAAGACATGTTCCCCCGAGGAGTTCCTGAGAGTTCGTACAGAAAGGGCTGCAGAGGTAATGTGCACTGTGCATGAAACAGAGAAGGAGCAGCAGCATTTGTTCTCCCCAAGCATTACTTAAAGAAACCAAGTTTAGAGGGATGTGGACAGGGTCAGCCTTTTAAATAGATGCTTTGTTGTAAAGAAGAGATTATGTGGTTTCATACAGATGCCAGTTTTCATTAAACTCCATGACAAAATATACATCACCTATTGCCCATTTATTTATTCTAATATCTATTTGAGAATTATGAGAATTTCAGCTTTATTGATAGTTTAAAATATAAAATAATAGGCTAAATAGAAAATATCTGTACTCTAGTTGAAATTTTCAGACATGGTGGATATTTTTAAAACAACATTAAAGTTTACAAACCATCATAAGTTGACATGTTAAAAATAGTACCAAATTAGCAATGGTTCAAAAGGCAAAGGATTTTTGTTATATTCGTTTTGAGTGAGGCAATGAAACCCTTACCTAAAGCTAACCATAACCCTATCTTTAACCCTAAAACTCTTGGTTTTCATGAAAGTTACACTTAGATTTAACCTGGGGAATAAGAAGGAGGAGGTACCTCTAAGAATTATATCAGCTCCCTCAATATTCTTTACTGATCACTCCAGTTATGTCTAGTATGTGACTCTGAGCTTCTGGGAGACAGAAAGACAGTGTTTTTTGTTAGAGGCAAGGGGATAGGGAAACTGACAAGACCTTAATAAAGCAACACTTATGAGTCTATGGGGTTTTCAATTAAGTTATGTAAATAAAATTCACTGTATATCAATTTCTGCAGATCTACCCAATAAAGGACAAAAATGAACGCAGTCGCCAGGCTCTCATCATATGCAATATAGTGTTTGACCACCTTTCTGTAAGGAATGGGGCCAAATATGACATCATAGGAATGAAGAAGCTGCTTGAGGGCCTAGACTACACTGTGACTGTGAAAGAGAATCTTACAGCCAAGGTGAGAGCCACACACACCCCCCAAACTCATGTGCATGCAAAACATACATTCTACTAACAAATTAGCTTTATAATATTGGACAAAACCAAATAACTTATGAGGATATTTGTGTGTGTGTGCATTTGTGTGTGAGCACATGCATGTGCGCTTTCTCAAAATGAAGAAATTAGATAGACTATATCTATGTCTCTTTTGAACAGCGATTATCCTCAGTTCCATGGAACTGCACAGAAAGTGATTGGCATGGGTGTCCAATAATTCTTAGTTATCGCCAGAGTGAAATGTTTGGGATTCAGGCAAAAAAATTTTCAGAATAGTGAATGTTAAGAAGGTGTGTATTAACACAAATATCAGTTCTGACTCTGTGTCAGGGCTTCTTCATGTCACTGGATATAAGTCTGCAAATAAGATAAGAAATGCCTGTTTTGCACTGATGTATATTAGAGAAAATCCAAATTCATGGAAACTATAGGTAGAGTGATGTATAAATAAAAAGAAGAAGAATAGCAAAAAGAAAAAAACATGAGAGAGAAAAAGGTAATATGACTGACATATAAATATATAATATATTAAGTAGACTATTTATGGTATATCAGGAAGTACAATAAATGTAAAATCCACTGCCGTGTTAAGAGAGAAATATAAGACGAGATCCCAGTTGTTGATTCTTTGTGCTAGTTCCTGTGCTACTGAGGTTTTGATCATAAAGTCTTCTCCTATGCCAATGTCTTCAAGAGTTCTTGGGAACAACCCAAGTGCCCATCAACTGGAAACTGGATAAAGAAGATGTGGGTTTTGTTTTTTTTTTAGATCGAGTATTACTCAGCCATAAAGAATGAGAATCTAGAGACATTTATAGCTAAATGGATGCATATCGAGGACATACTCTTAAGTGAATTAAATAGGACACACATGTGTAAATACCGAATAGTTTCTCTCGTGTGAGAAAATGAAAGTGTAAATAATGATTAAAATGAATAATTAATAATGTGAAATAGGAAGAAAATGTCCAAAGGGGTAGGGGAAGAGGGAGGGTTAGGGAAGAGGAAAGAAGGGAAAGGAAAAGTTATAAGAAAAGGAAAAAATGGAAACAAAGTCTTTGTAAATAGGGAAGTGTGGAGGGTGAAGGGAGGACAGGAAATGGGGAGAAAATAAGAATCAAGATATATCAAGTACCCAATGATAAATGTAAATGTATTGTATACCTAAAATGTACCAATAAAAGAATCTAAGGGGAAGAAAGAGAGAAATATAAAACAACTGACACTGTTCGGTACCACTATGTATAGCCACCTTGTTCAGAACATTATATATGTTTCCTATACTGATCAAAGTAAATCTAGGGGTCAGACTGATTTTGAGACTTGTCTTACTGAAGTAAGACTTTGGTCTTTTCAAGGATATGGCCTCAGTGCTGAGTGAATTTGCTGACAAACCGGAGCACAAGTTGTCAGACAGCACATTCTTGGTATTTATGTCTCATGGTATCCTGCAAGGAATATGTGGAATTATGCATAGTGAGAAAAACCCCGATGTGCTTCAATATGACACCATCTTCAACATATTCAACAATAAGAATTGCCCTGATCTAAGAGACAAACCCAAAGTCATCATTGTACAGGCCTGCAGAGGTGGTGAGTTATCAGACAAAAAATCTAATAATTCTGAAGGTATTTCCAGAGGAATAGCATGCATGTTATACATCATTGATAAGCAATCATAGGCCCCATCTAGTGTAAGTAAAATAAACATAACTACTAGGAAGGCCCTCCTGAGACGGTGCCATAAGAAACTGGCTGCTCAGCTCATAAATTTTTCTACAGTTTTAATCTATAGTACGTGGTACAGAAATCTGCAAAATCTCTTAAGTAGATAGACATAAATAATCAAGACTTGGAATAGAAACATTTTAATTACAATTTTACTTGCAATATAGTGTATATATATATATATATATATATATATATATAATTTGACTTAAGAAGATTGGTACTTGAAAGTGAGCAATTGTGACTTCCATACCCTATTCTTACCAATAAATGCATCATATAGACAAAAATTTCAATCAGAATGCTCAGAGTTAAAATACACTACAGATCAGAAAAACCTAATAAACATTGACAGAATATTCCTTCAAACAGCTAGAAAATACGCATTTCTTATTAGAACAGGGAACTTTTTCTGAGATAAATTATGTTTTAGGCCATAAAAAGTCATAGTAAATTCAAAAATAGTGAAATAATTTCCTCCATCTTCCAAAATACAAATGAAATGGAGTGAAACTAGAAATCAACAGCAAGAAAAACTGAACAAAATATACAAACACATGAATTGTAACTACATTTCTGAACACACTGGGTTGCTGAAGAAATCAGGGGCCAACCTATACCAGAATCAAATGAAAATTGGCACACAACATACATAACAAATGGGATACAGCAAAAGCAAACTGGGAATTTTATAGCAATGAGTGCCTTCATCAAAAGACAAAGAGAAGGAGAAGAAGAGAGAGAGGGAGAGGTCAAATAAGTAATGTAATGATGCAGTTCTAGGTTCCATAAAAATAATAACAAAGCAACTCCAATATCAGTAATTGAAAGAAGTAATAAGGATAAGGGGGAAACTAAATGTAATAGAGACAGAAAGAATTATACAAAGGCTTTATTAAAGAAAATTTTCATTCTTTAGAAAGATAGCTTGGCCAAACTAACCAAACAAAAGAGAAAACCTAAATGAATAAAACTAGAGGTAAAAGAAAAGGTGGTGTGTTACAACAGATAAGAAGGAACTCCAGAGAATCATTAAGGAATATTTTGAATAATTATTTGCCTTTAATCAGAAGATCTATAAAATGGCCACATTTCTAGACAGATATGACTTACCAAGACTGAACTAAAAGTATCAATAAGTAAGTCAATAGAAAGTAATGAAATTGAAGCAGTAATAAAATGGCCCAGCAAAGAAAAGCCAAGTCCTGGATAGATATACTGCTGAATTGTCCTGCTGGATTTTAAAGAAGAAATAATAGCAATGTTCCTCACAATGCTTCATGAAATACAAAGGAAAATTACCAATCCAAATGAAGTCCACAGGGCAGAACAATGCTGCTGCCAGAATCCAATGGGGACACATTAACAATCAAACTATGAATCAATATCAATGATATTATAGATGCAACTATACTCAATAAAATTATTTTTCATTGAATTCAACTGCATATTGAAAAGATCATATAGTATGATCAAGTTGATTTCATTCTAGGGATGCAATATTTGTTCAACAAACACAAATGAATAAATAGCACATAAATAGAACCAAAGAAAAAAACGTCACGTGATCATCTCAAGAGATGTAGAGAAAGCCAGCAAAACATCCCATGATGATAAAAGGCCTGAATAATTTTGGCATACAAGCATAATCTCAAATAAAATAGAAGCTATTATGAGAAACTCATAGCCAATATCATACTGAATGGCAAAAACTGTAAGCATTTCCTCTAGTACCTGGAATAAGACAAAGATGTCCACTCTGACCAATCTTTTTCAATACAGTACTCTAAGTTTTAGCAGAAAAGCTTAAAGTTTCCACCAAAAGAGTCTAAGAATTAATAAAATTAATAAAATAGCAGGAATTTTAAGTCAAAGTAGGATAATCAGCAATTTTCCCATACATCAATAATGAAATGGCTGAAAGAGAAACCAGAAAAGCAATCAGATTTACCATATACTCAAGTACATGCACATATACATACTTAGGAATGAACCTAACTTAGGATCCAAAAGATTCTACAAAGGACTAAAAGGATTAATAACTAATAATTGATACTTTGAAATAGGAAAAGGTCCAAAGGGGTAGGGGTGGTGGGAGGAGAAGGGGAAAGGAAAGAATGGAAAGGAAAAATTATGAGAAAAGAAAAAAAAAGGAAACGAATTATGTAAATAGGGAAGGGTGGAGGGGTGAAGGGTGCACAGGTAATGGGGAAAAAATGTACATCATGTACAAGTACAAGCACCCAAAGATAAATGCAAATGTATTCCATACCTAAAATGTACCGATAAAAGAATTTAAGTAAAAAAAACACAAAAAAACCAAAAGATTCTACAATGAAAATTATAAAAGAGATCAGACACAAAGGTGGAAAGACTTCCCACAAAAATGTATTGTGATTAATACTACTGATAAAATGGTAATACTATGAAGACTATTTATAGATTTGATAAAATCACCATCAAAAGGTTAATTACATTCTAGTCAAGCAACCCTAAATCTCATATGAAAGCATAAAAATTTTAAAACAGTCAAAGCAATTATGAACAAAAAGAACAATGCTAAAGGCATCATAATAGTTCATTAAAAACATACTACAGAGCCATAGCAACAAACCCACCATGGTACAAACATGAAGATGAACAGAATAGAATAGAGGATCCAGAATAAATTTATGCATTTACATACAACTGAAAAATAACAAAATGCCAAAAATACGTAGTTGAGAAAAGACAACCTATTCAAAAAGGATGCTTTAGAGCTGGATGTCCACATGTAAAAAATGGAAACTCTAGCCCGATTTCTTATGCTGCACAAAAATCAACTCAAAAATGATAATATCCCTTAAAGTAACACCTGAAACTTGGAAGCTAGTAGAAAAAAATGTATGGGACTCACTTCAACATGTGGACAGAAGCAATGATTTGCTATGTGTGTAGGACTGCAACAATTCAGGAAACAAAAGCAAGAATCAATAAGAAAAATGGAATTCCATCAAATGATAAAGCTCCTGTACAGCTAAAGAAATAGTGAACAGAATTTAAAAACAGCCTATAGAATGGAAGAAATTGTTTAGCAGCTATTCATCTGACAGAGGATTAATATCCAGAATATGTAATGAACTCAAAAAAGTAATAGAAACAGGAGAAAAAATCAAATCAAAAATGAACAAAATATCTGAATAGATACTTCTAAAAGAAGAACTATAACTGCCCAATGAACTTCGGATGAAATGCTCAATATATTTATCTGTCTGGAACGTTCAAATCAAAATTACATTGAGATTTCATCTCACTGCAGTTAGAAAAACTATTTTCCCCAAAACAAAAGTCACCCATGCTGCTGAATATGGAGAAAAATGAACCCTTATATGATATTGGCAAGCACATAAATTTGTATATCAATTATGGAAAATAGTATGGAGTTTACTGAAAAAAAACTATAAATAAAACTACAATAGGATCCAGAAACACCAAGCCTGGCTATCCATACAAATGGAATGAAGTCAGCATGCAAAACAAATCCGGCGTACCAATAATTATTGCAACAGTGTCCAAGATTATGAGGTGCAGAATCATCTTACTTGCCCTTCAAGAATGAAAAGATAAAGAAAATAGGGTACATCAACACAATAAACTATTGTTCATTCGCTAAGAAGAAACAAATCATATCACTTATAGAAAAATGGATGGAACTGAGAGACATCGAATTAAGTGAAATAATCCAGGTACAAAAAGACAAGTATCAGGCCTTTTCTCTCATACATGCAAACTAAATAAAAAATAAAAATAAAATTGAACTAAAAAAGGGCCCGTTAGTAAATGGCAATTGGTCTGTGAGGAGAAGTGGGAGACTGGAAGGTGAGAGATGGTAGAAAGGAGAATGGACACGAACATGGCACAAAATATACATGTGTGGAAATGTAACAGTGAAATACATTAACTCTAACAATGTGTGTTAAATATAATAATAAAAAATTTCAAAGAGAGAAAATAGATTCATTGTATAATAAAGGATACCTTCCTTTCTCACATATTGTCAGTGGGTATTGAGTTAATGGACTCTGGAGACATTATAATCAAATATTTCCTTTTATTTATTCTGGACAATTGGGAGCTAAATATTTTAAGCAAAAATAATTGATTTAAAATCCAGTAGCTATGCTCTGAAATTTTGCAGATGGGGTTTTAGCTCTTTTTGTTGTCTCCACAGGAAACTCCGGGGGAGTGTGGGTCAGAGATTCTCCAGCAGCCCTGGAAGACGCCCCAGCCCAGTCACCTGAAAACCTGGAGTCCGATGCTGTTTATATGACCCACGTGGAGAAGGATTTCATCACTTTCCACTCCACAACCCCACGTAGGTGTCTTTGGGGTTCAAACAGAGATTTAATGGGTTTATGGTCACTGTTCAGTGATTCTACAAGATCAAGCTGAGCTCTGAAAATTAATGAACTGTGAAAATTTTTGAGTGTTATTGATATATTCTACATAATTATTATATGTGCTTAGGGAACATATATGCTTATACTCACTTGCTTTTAAATTGTTCTTTTATTATATAAGCAATTTATAAACAAATGTGTATAAAAACATAAAAGCAAACCAATACATAGAATTGCTTATTGATTAATTTTTCTATTAATTTCATTTAGCATTTTTTATTAGATATTTTACAGATCCGAGGACTGGCTGCCCTTTCTTAAATCATACTCTCAAAGCCCTTTTCTCCGTATTTCATATGTCATTGTATATGTAGTGAAAGCATTGTATAGCCCCATAGGAATGTGCATGCCCTTTTAAAAGTGGTAGAAAGTGACAGTGAAGATTATTAAATCTGATGTCAGAGAGCAGTGGTTAATACTTTGCTTCTAAGTAATCATCTTAGGAAGCCTTACATTTAATTTTTCTATTTTTTTAATTTTTAATTTTTATTTTTAAAAAACATTTCTTTGAAATCCAACTGACATAAAAATTGTATATATGTAATGTATACAACTAACTGAGCTTGGAGATGAATATAAGAAAACATCACCACAATCTATGGCACAAACATTCTTATCCTCTAAAAGCTTCTTGCTTTTCTATTTTATTATTGTGTGTATGTGTTAAAGATCTATCCTCTTAGCATATTTTAGGCATATAATAAAGTATTACTAGCTATTAGCACTATGCTGTAGAGTAGTAGATCTCTATGACTTATTCAAGTTTTGTAACTGAAACCTTGGCTCAGTTTCAATATTCTATTATATTGTGAAAGAAAGCATTACATAATTATATAAATTGTAGACCAGCATGGAGTCAGAAGGTCATTTTTTTGTTACTTGCTCACTGTGTGAACTTGGGGAATTTCCTTTATCCTGCTGAGCTCCTTCTTTTTCCTTTGGTTGGATAATTCTAGTTATCTAGCAAGCTCCTTTCCACAGCCTGGGAATGAGAATAAGGCACATTTTAGATAACTCCTAGAATCACTATGCAATCTTCTGGAGTTCTCTCAGGGTTCCACTTTAGTTCCAACTCTGCCAGCTGTTTTTGGTTTCTTCTCCGTATAAAATGAGTCAGTGTGGGAGTAATAAGTGTTTCCCCTAAAAATATAATGATAATTCTTGACTATGCTTATCTTTTTAAAAAAATCCAGAAATCCCAAATAGCACAAAACTAGTAAAAGGCCATAGACTAAAGCATATCACTCTGTGTTTTCATAGATAATGAGTCCTGGAGAAACACTACAAAAGGTTCCTACTTTATCATAAAACTTATCGCAGGTTTGCAGAAATATGCCTGGTGTTATCCTCTACAGGAAATATTCCAGAAGGTAAGTTTCTCTTTCCCTTCAAATAATTCATTTCATTGTTCATAAAAATTATCATTATTCACTTTTCACACTATAATAACATACTTTTCAGGCAAGCAAAGATAGAACATTAACATGCTTCTATCATGCAGGTGTTTAAGTCTCATTTAGAAAAAGATCTCAATATTCCATAGTGAGAGATGAAAGTAGACCAACATGATTTATAAATATAAGGTTGCATGTTTCCAGCTATGATTCTTTAAGTTCTTAAATTGTAGAGAATGGAAAGCATATAAAACTAACTTTCCTTTTTCATATATGAAATAAATACATACTGTATATTCTGCTAGGAAACAGGCTATACTTGTATAGGAGATATAGTAGTAAATGAGATATATCTGTAAGCATTATCCTACCTAAAACTCACATTTTCGTGAAATATATGGATACTAAAAATGTAAGCCATCAAACAAATATGTGATTGCAGATTATCATAGTATCCATACAGAGAAAGACCTTTAGTTGTGTAAGAGAATGAAGACAATTAAATGGAGTGATTCAGATGGGAAAGCATAAAATTTCTTCTTCAACTTAGGATGATCCTTATTTCCCCTCCTCATTCATAATTTACTTTTTTATTGCTTACTCTCACCCACTAAGTATGTATCTCGTTTATGTGTTTGTTTTTTACCTGTATTTGTTCACTAAATTTCAAGCCTCATGAACTCAAGAATTTGTTAAATATTTCAACATTCATGACATATCACAAACATTAAATAATATTCACTGAATGAAGGAGTGGTTAAATGAATAGATAAATGCTCCTTCTTTCTTACAGGGAAAGGAATTGGTATTAAGAACCCAAGTGGTTCTTTTTAAATTCAAAACTATAGAGGACAGTAACAAGAAAATAAAAGTATATCTTTAGTAGGTTAAAGTACATTACATCATTACATTAAGTGAACATTTCTGTGCATAGGGATCTTGGAATTTGTATTTTGTTGGATGAAAATGGATTAGAAATGATAATGTGAAAGATATACCTAGAAAAGACTAGAAATAGTCCCTTTAATGTATTTCAGTTCTGATCTCATGGGACAGTCCAGGGCAAAAGACATCATAAGTCCGTTTCCTTTTTTTAGTTCTTTTATTGGTACATTTTAAGTATACAATTCATTTACATTTATCATTGGGTGTTTATACCTGTACATGATATATCTTGGTTCTTATTTTTTTCCCCATTACCTGTGCTCCCTTCACCTCCTCCACCATTTCCTATTTACATAGATTTCATTTCCATTTTTGTTTTCTTTTCTCATAGTTTTTCCTCTCCCTCTTTTCCTTTCCCTTTCCCCTCCCTTCACCCTTTCATCTTTGGACCTTTTTTCCTGTTTCAAATTATCAATTATTCATTTTAATCATTTTAACCCATGTTTACACTATCAGTTTCTCACACTAGAGAAACTATTCAGTATTTACATATGTGTGTCCTATTTATTTCACTTAAGAGTATGTCCTTGATATGCATCCATTTAGCTATAAATGACTCATTTTTTGTTCTTTATGGCTGAGTAGTACTCCATTTTACAAAAAAAAACACATTTTCTTTTTCTAATTTCCAATTCATGGGCACTTGGGCTGCTTCCAAGCTTTAGCTATTACATACTGTGCCATGATGAACATGGGTGCACATATATCACTGTGATATGATTCTTTTCTTTTGGGAAGATACCCAGCAGGGGAATAGCTGGGTCAAGTGGGACCTCTAGTCCTAGTCCTTTGAGGTATTTCCATACTGACTTCCACAGTGGTTGCACCAGTCTGCCCTTCCACCAACAATGGAGAAGGGCTGCTTTCTCCCCACAACCCCGCCAGCATTTGTTATTTGTTGATTTCTTGATAGCAGCCATTTTTTCTGGTGTGAGGTGGAATCTCAGTGTTTTCATCTGCATCTCTCAAATGACGAGTGATGTTGAACATTTTTTCATATATTTGTTTGTTGCTTTTACTTCTTTGTCCGAGAAATGTCTGTTCATTTCAGATGCTCATTTGTGAATTGGGTCTTTGAGTTTGGGGGATCTGATATTTTTCAATTCTTTATATATTCTAGACAATAGTCCTTTGTCTGAGGTATAGCTGCTAAAAATTTTTTCCCATATTGTAGGTTGTCTGTTAGCTCTGTTGGTGGTTTCTTTTGCAGTGCAGAATCTTTTTTAATAAGATGCAATCTCAGTTGTTGATTCTTTCTGCTAGTTCCCATGCTGCTGGGGTTTTGTTCATGAAGTCTTTTCCTGCCAATGTCTTCAAGAGTTTTACCTAACTTATCTTCCAGCAAGTTTAGTGTTTCTGTTTTAATATTTATACCTTTAATCCACTTCAATCGTAGTTTAGTGCATGGTTATAGGTATGGGTTTAGTTTTAATCTTTGGCAGATTGAAATCCAATTTTTCCAACACTTTTTATTAAATAGGCTATCTTTCCTC